AAATAAACATTTGAAATATATGAGTTTGTATGTAATGTATGAATATAATATACAAGTTTCACTTTTTAAGTGGAATTACTGAAATAAATCTACTTTTTCATGATATTCTAATTTTATGACCAGCACCTGTATACAGGAAGATGTTTGCTTTTGCATGTCATGAAAGCATCCATAAAAAAGGAAAATAATTAAAACCACAGATCTTGAAGGAAAACAAATGCAACTTTGATGGTTTTTGGAAAAAATAACCAAAGGAAAGCATGTTGCTATCTGTAGTTTTTATTAGACATAGTAACTGATATTACTGATAGGCTTCATGAGGACAATTTTCATGCCTAAAATTTCACATCTAACTGAAGCAGGTCAAAATTTTAATTCTTCTGTTTGGCTGTGATTTGAAGCCATTATCTCTTATTTACAAGACAGACACGTTGACCAATTAAGCCACAGTACCTAAATAGGTTGCATACACATAAAGACTTTTGGTTTTGTATGTAGACAAAGCAAAGGTAAAAAGAGAAATAATCAAAGCCACAGAACTTGAAGGAAAATGAATGAACCTTTGACGTTTTGGGAACAAATCAACAAAAGAATGCATGTCAATATTTATAGGTTTTAGTAGACTTAAGAACTACTATTAACCATAGGCTTTATGAGGGCTTTTTTGACACATAAGTATCAGATGTAATTGAAGTTGGAACAACAGCTTTAATAATTCTAACTTGTGGTCAGGTAATGCTGGGATTTGAACCCAAGATCTCCTGTTTACTAGACAGGTACTTTGACCAACTAAGCCACAGTACCGTTTTCATCTACATACACAGGTAGACTTTTGGTTTTGTATGTCAACAAAGCATTAGTAAAAAGATTAGCAATCAAAACCACAGAACTTGAAGGAGAATTAATGCACCTTTGATGGTTTTGGAACAAAGTACCCAAGGAAAGCATGTTAATAATCATAGCTTTTTAGTAGACTTAAGAACTGCAATTAATCATAAGCTTTATGAAGGTATTTGTAACACATAAGTATCAGATCTAACTGAAGATRGAATAACAGCTTTAATAATTCTAATTTGTGGTCAGGTAGTGCTGGGATTTGAACCCTGGATCTGCTGTTTACTAGACAGGCAGTTTGACCAACTAAGCCACAGTACCTTGAAAGACTGTATGTACAGGAAGACGTTTGGATTTGCATGTCATGAAAGCATCCATAAAAATAAAAATAATTAAAGCAACAGAACTTCAAGTACAACTAATGCAGCTTTGATGGGACTTTCCCAATCAGTGGCTACTCCCTCACCCTACACAATCCTCACTCCATTTGCATCTGCGCTTGGAGGGTTGGCCATATTAAGTCCCATCCCAAACTAATTACGGACAAGGGCGAGTGTCTTATTAAGCCCTCCACATCGAGTCAGCATCCACTGCAGACTTGAGCAGCAGGCGCAGCACCAAATAGTGGTCGGCATGGAGGATGGGATGTATAAATACTGTATAAATTGTGCATATGTTTTACATACATATTTACTAAGTAAACACCTCACCAACAAATGTCATTTTACAAAGACTATATAAAACATGCTCAGTTCAATTCTAACTTGATGACAGAGAACCCTGGTCCATATTTAAAAAAGAAGAAAGGAAAAAAGTAAATAAATGATTTAAAAAAAATTTAAAGTGCAATTGTTTTGACAAATTAGGACACTGTTTGTGTCAAATACAGTCATATCTAAAGACTCTCTAAAATGTGTGCCTAATTAGATATTTTCTTTGGTTTTTTAAGAAAAAGCATTCGTTCTCCAGCACTGAGTCGCTGTCAGAGCTTGGACTGTTACCATGGTGATGACAGCTTCCTTTTCCGGTAGTGTGAGGTGAGCCCGACTAAATTATAGCATACACAGATAGACGTTTGGTTTTGTATGTCAACAAAGCATCAGTTAAAATTAAAAAAATCAAACCCACATAACTTCAAGTACAACTAACACACCTTTGATTGTTTTTAGAACAAAGTACCCACGTGAAGCATGTTGCTATCAATAGTTTTTAGTAGACTTTTGAATTACTATTACTGACAGGCTTTTTGAGGGCATTTTTCACATGTAATAATCAGATCAAACAGAAGTTGGAATAACAGCTTTAATAACTCTAACTTGTGGTCAGGTACTGCTGGAATTTGAACCCAGGATCCCCAGTTTACAAGGCAGGCACTTGCAAATGCAACTTTGATGGTTTTTGGAAAAAATAACCCAAGGAAAGCATGGTGCTATCTGTAGTTTTTAGTAGACATAGGAATCATCTAAGCCACAGTACCTTAAAAAAAACTGCATGCACAGGTAGTCATTTGGTTTTGTATGATAAGAAAGCATCATTAAATAAAAAAATCAATGCCAAAGAACTCAAAGGAAAACTAAGGAAGCTTTGATGGTTTTTGGATTAAAGTACCCTGGGAAAACATGTTGCTATCTATAGTTTTTAGTAGACATAAGAGCTGCTAGTGC